CCTGGCCTGGGTGTCGCTGCTTCCCCCACCTCTGGGGGTGCACTCCTTGGTCCCTCCTGGAGGCTGCTCCACTGGGCTCCTCGCCGCCTGCCCCTGCCCTAACCCTGGTGCCCGTGCCCACAGGGAGCGCGTGCCAGGTGGTCCCGTGTCGCACACACCCCGTCCGCGCGTGCCGCCGCCTGAGTAGGAAGCCTTCCTTCCTCACCTGGACCGGCTGGACTCCCTTCTGCCTCGCTCCCCCTGCCGGCCGAGCCTCCATGTGTGCGAGGTAGGAGGCCCGGCTGGGCCCCCACACGCGCGGGCCAGGAGGGCTGGGCGCTGCCCAGGGTCGGGCGCCACTCGGGGTCAGCCTCCTTAGGTTGCGGTGCGCGGCTGGGACCTGGACTTTGCGGTCCGCCCCTCCGCCTGGGACACAGACTGAAGACAAGACCTGCATTTCGCCGCACCGGCCCGTGGCGAGGTGAGAACTAAGATGAGACCACTTTACAGTCCTTAAGACCGAGGCTCGGCTTGGACTGGCAGCGGAATGGTCCAGCTGCGGGCTGGAGGCAGCAAGGGCTGGATGGCACTGAGACGTCGGCCCTTCCTGGGCGCCAACGCCAACGGGGCCGCTGCCTTGGCTTCTCCCTCGGGGCCCTGCGCAGGGTCCCATGTGGGCACTCAAATGCGCCCCAGCACTCACTCACCCCCGCGCCAGCATCCTCGGAGTTGTGCCTGAAGCCCCAGCACTCACTCACCCCCACCCCCGCCCCGCTTCGGCATCCTCAGAGTTGTGCCCGAAGCAAACCCTGTTTTCTCCCCAGCGCGGGGAGGCGGCCCCTGGAGAGTCCTGGCTGCCAGCTCCCGCCCAGCTCCGCCTCCCCTCAGCGCACGTGGCTCCTTCAGGGGAGCCATCAAGACTGGCGCCCTCACAGCTTTTGGCGGGACCCCACTCCTCACTCTCCGGCCCCTGAAAAGGCACATCCGCAGCACTGTGCCGCTGCCCAGAATTCACTCCGGGCCTCTCCGCTCCCATCCTTGGAAGGAACTGTGCGCCCATGTGCATCGCTGGCGGGCGCAAAGCCCACGGATCCTTACACTCATGAGCTCCTCGAGACAAGGTGGACACCATCCGCGCTCCCCACGGGGTCTCTGGCCAGCTGGGGCACAGGCGCACACAGAAGCATCCGAGCTGACAGACCGCGGGGTGTGAGCACGTTGCGCTGGGGACCCATCTCCCTGGAAGCAGAACACGGACCGGACAGAACCGGGCTGCCTCACCCAGGGCTCAGAGAGGGGCCGGGCTTTCCTCGACCCTGTTCATTCATTTCAGGGTTGATTAGCCGGACCTGCCTCCAGCATCTGCCTAGACGGGCCTCAGCGGTCTCCCAGGAAGGCCCCGCACTGGGGCCAGCCTGCACCCTGCCTTTCTGCTGCCGGCAGCCACTCCTGGCTGGCCGGCGGGGCCAAGCCTGGCAGGATGTGCAAGGGGGCGACCTTCGCTGGAGCCGGGAGAGGCGGACGCAGGGCGGCTCCGGCTCCGTCCCCTCTCTCCTCTCCCCACCCGCCGCGGGAGGCTGGAGCAGGACCTTGGCCCCTGGGCGCGCCCTATCTTCCTCCTTCGAAGGAAGGCTCTTGGCCCGCAACAAAGACAAACGCGGCTTTCTGGATAGTGCGCGTGGTCGTGGACGGGCAGCGACCCCAGCCCTGGAGGTGGGCGGGTAGGGGAGGCTGTGCTCTGACCTCCCTCCCCTCCTCCCCAGCCACTTCGTGGGAGAGGACCCACAGGCTCTGCGCGGTGGGGGTGAAATGGGGGCGAAGTCTGTGCGGGTCACCCTTGCACGCCCAGCTCGTGGCCCTGCGGGCCCCAGTACAGTATGCACATCGCGGGGGAGGGGGGCTTTGCAGACCCTGGGGCTGGCGGGGCAGGGCCGGACCGAGAGCCTGTGGGAGCTTGTGGTGAGGCCTCATCCCAGGCAGGGACGGTTTCCCTGCCCCCGCCCTGCTGGCCTGATCTCTTGGAGGAGGCGACCCCCTCTCCCCAGCCTTGGGGCTCAGTCACGTGGAAGAGCAGTGACTCCATTGGCCCGTAACTGCTCCCTGGACCCTCCCTCCGGGTTGCCTCAAACTGATGCAGAAGTCCCTGCAAGCCCACCCAGGCCTCCTCCATCGTGTTGGGCCCTTACCCCAACCTCCAGTCGGGGAGCCTGTGCCCCCCCCAGCTCTGGGGACCCCTGCCTGGGAGCCCCAGGTGCACAGTCCGTTCACATGAGAGGGACTGAGGACTCCGTGGAGATACCTGGCAGACCCTGGCAGTTCTTGGCAAAGGCTGGGAACCAGAAACAGCCTTGGAGATGACACCGGGTAGGGATGAGCTGAGCCATGCTCAGGGAGGGGGCTGGCCCCTCACCCCTTCTGTGGCATCACCTGGGACCCTTCCTGGACCCCAGCACCACCAGCCTGGACCCTGGGGGACCAATAACTGCAGAATGAGCCAAGGGAAGCTGGGAGGGGTTGGGCCAGGGTCTGCACAGCCGTGCACAGCTGGGTGCAGCTCCCTTCTGCCCCGGGGCCTAGCTGCACCCCCCTCTCCCCGAGAGGGTGCTGTCTTCTGGGCCCAGTGCCCAGGAGGACAGATGCAGGGAGCTGGTGAGAGGGATGGCCGGACCGGATGGGGCTGTCAGCTAGGCCTGGGTGATAGCACCCCCTGACCCCCACAGGGCACCAGGGCCCCCTGCAGGCTGGAAGTTCCCACAAGTCTAGAACAAACAAACAGACAGCCCGTTACACAGGCAGGCCCTGGGCCCCTCTCCGATTTCTGGGCCTGTTGATTTAACTGCCCACTTGGCGAGAGGACCCAGCCACATGGGGAGCTGGCTGTCCATCTGTCTGTCCATCTACTGGCCACACTGGCCTCTCCAGCCCAGGCAGAGGTGTGGCTTTCAGAGACCCAGGTGACCTAGATTTTGGCTGCCTACAGCTCCCCTCTGTGGTCAGGGCAGCAGAGCCACACTTTCCAATAAAAGGGCCAGAACCCAGAAGCCCCGGGGGGTGTGGGCTGAGGGTGAGTGGCCTGAAGATGGTCACTGCAGACACTCTCCTCAGGCTCCTCCTCCAACACACCCCCCAGGTGAGTGTGTGCACATGGGGACAGGAGGAGACTCCCTTCACAGGGTCACTCAACAGGGACCCTTCCAGGTGGAATCACCTGGGAGGTCACTCGCCCTTCTCAGTCCCCAGCCCTGACTCCGGCTTGCTGAGTGAGATGAGGAAGGAAGTTCTGAGGAGGCAGAAACCGGGGCCGGGGCCAGAGGCAGTGAAGAGGCACCGCCACACCAGGGACACTGGCACCTTGCTAACGGGGCCCAGCCAGGGCGAGCTCCCTATGGTCTTTGGAGATAGTGTGTCTCATCTTCAGGATGCTTAGAGCAGTTAAAAGAATTGAATACATCAGACTTGGAATTTTCATTAAATCTTGATCCAGTTAACAATTCAGTTCAAGTTGTCCATATACTTGCAGTGACAGCCAAGTGTGCCTCTCAGGAGAAACTCAGGGTGGAAGTCCAGTCCAAGTCAGTGGAGGATTGGCTCTGTGCCGGAGTCCTTCTGCATCCACTCTGGGTCCCGTGAACCCAGAACCTCACCCAGGTGCCATGGCCTGGCGTCCAGAGCTGCTGTGCCTACTACCCTCGGCAGGCCCCCTCCCCCTCCCCCTCCGCCTGCTGACCTGGGGCTGAAGGCGGGAGGCAGGTGGACTGTCCAGCCTGGGCAACACTGTCCAGCAGCTGGATGGGCAGAGAGGGGACCCAGGCCTGGGGAGAACAGTGGAGGCAACCAGGCCCCTCCCCAGCGGGTCTGCCTGGACTCCTGCGTTTCCAGGGGAGGAGCTGCTGCAAAGAGGGTGGGGACAACATCGTGGAGGAGAGGGGCCCTTCAGAGCAGGCAGAGCCAGGGCAGATGGTGTGGCCCAGGCATCACGAGCACTGCCAGGTGTGAGCCTCATCCTGCAGCGCTCTGGGGCCTCTCCAAGCCTCAGAGTTTGTCTGAGAAATGGGAGTGCTGGAGACCCCACGGTGCGAGTCAGGGAGGCTCACATCAGCTCCCAAATGGGGCTCCCCAGCCGGTGTTACCCCTAGACTTGTCCCCCAAGACTGGGGAAAGAAGCTATTGCCTCTGTGCTCCTGTGGGGCCTCCAGACCCTGCCAGGGCTTGGGGAGGGGGCTCCTGGCTGCACCCCCAGGAGGCCCTCTCTGCCCGGCTTCTCCACCCTGCCCAAGTGCCCAGACTCTGCCTTGGCTTCCCGGGTCCCTGAGCACGGCCCCGCCCCAGCTCAGCCAGACAAATCCCTTCCCTCCTCTGCGGCTCTGCTGAACCAGGTTGGAATTTCTCAAAAGCAAACAAACAGGCGAGCTCAGAGCTCAGCGTTGTGGTTTTAGGAGCTCAGATTCCCTCCCGTC